GGGTAAGGAAATTCTCTGCAGTTTATTTACATCACTCCTACTTTTACCCATGTCTCTTCACCTGACCTCTTTCTTGTGCATTTTATTCATTCTTAATTTTACTTTTTTCTCAACCTTTTCAATTGTTTCCCTTGAACTTTCTCTCCAATATTTACATTAGTCATAGAATATTTCACCATCCCCATTTATCACTACCAATGTTGTACACAGTTTTCCCATCTATAACATTTTAAATGCATAATAATATATCTTGGACATCCCTAGGACCCTTTGTCCTCTTCCTTTCCATATCACAATGAAGAATATTTTAACATGTTTTTCTATTTCTCTTCTCTTACCCTCTACCACTATGCAATCCTCCAAGCCCCTGGGCTTTAGAAAACTGATTCTACTAAATTGCTATTGAATATTGTTTTTTTTTCCCAGTAGGGGAGATGCATTCATCACTTTTAGTGAACATTAATGCTGGGGCAAGACTTGGATTATTATAATGTTTAAATTATACCTGTGAATTTCTTCTCTATACTAAAGGTAGACCCAAGACAGGGTTTTATTGTATTTTATTTTTCAACTATTCCAGATAGATTTCATTGCAAAGAGCAGCATGTTACTATGGTAGTTGAATTGATTCCATAGGAATACCTATGACTCGGTGGACAATTTAATGTCAGTGAATGTCTGCCGAATGCACCAATCACACCCAGGGAGAGGGACAGCAGGAGTTCCTAATTCAAGAACTCAGACTGGATTAGACTCTGCAAGAATGCCTGAAATCTGGCAAAAGGAGGTCTTGGGTCTAAGCTAACTTTAGTATTGCAGTAGAAGGATCCAAGGTATTATGGGATGTGAGCACCCAGACTCTGGAAAAAAAGCTATTTAGGAATCACATATGCAATGTCTCATTATAATATCTAATTTATGTTCCAATTGGAAATCTTATTGCTTTAAAAATTTTTTTTGCTTTAAATTTTTGTATGTTTCTTCATTTGTTTAGCAATTAATGTTATGTTTTGTTCTTTTATGCTTTCATGTGTTGATTATGTTGATATTCTTCTACATTTGTTCATTAGGACTGACTTAACAGGTGTCTAGGTTCTCTCCCATGCCTCAGCTATTTATTGAGTTTTGCCTCCTCAAACCCAGGAGACAATACTATGAACATATTCCTTTATTTTTTTCCCAGACAAACACCTCCTCCCAATTTCCTAAATCCAATATATTTAGTTCTCTCAAGTCACTCCTGTCCTCACTAATACAATTCCTAATACTCCCTAAGTTTTTGTCTCCTCTGTATCTTACCTGTCATACTGTCCTCCCCATAAGCTGGTTATCATAACAATATTAAAACTTTCCTTAACCATGAAGTGAACCACTTTATCTCATATCTCACTCTTGCCCCCACAAAAATATACTCTGAAGCCCCTCATACTATACCTTCAACTCACCTAAAAGTACTTGAATTAAATCAGAACCCACATCAAACTTTTCTTCTCATCTACCAATATTCCTCCCTTCAAATCTCCCCCTTAGTGTCTAACACTACTCATTCAACCAAATCCCATTCTCCCCACTCTACCTCACCTGCCATACTGCACAGCAACCACAAATAATAAATTGTTGTAGTGTGAATAGAGAACAGACAAAGGGGGTATTTTTAAGAATTATCACATAAAAGTACTAAAATATTGTCTCTGTGGATACTGTAATAAATAGGAGCATTTCTTCTGGCAAAATATAGGGACATAGATGGAAACAGTAATTAAGAGAAGGAGTAACTACTAGCACTGGACATACAAAGCTGAAGATTATTTATAAGGAGACAATATCCTACTAAATAATCTCAATGCAAGCCACAATTTCCTCTCATGTCTATAGTCGTCACCTGTAAAACCCACCAACCTCCAAAAGGAGATTTCCTAACCCCCTCAACTTTGGTAGAGTAAGGGGCCAAAAAGGGAAAAGAAAAATATCAGATGGCAGAAATCTATGAAATGTTCTTAGAAAGGATGAAGAAAATAGATTAATTTAAAGAGGAAATAACATAAAATCTTCACAGCAATTACACTCACAATGCTGTGGTGAATTTAAAGTATGCCCATAGCAAAAAATACATACATACATACATATATCTTTTTCCAATACTTCAAAGAACCAAAAACTGGAATCTCATTTTTTTTTGTATTTTAGGGAAGGGTCTATAGGGTGTTCAGGGTCTCACTACTAGATCAGACTCATAGTGATTCTCCTGTTTACAGCTTCTCAAGTGCTGGGATTACAGGCACGCACCACTATGCCCAGTCTCAATTGCCCACTCAGTGTGCCCCGGGGGCAGGGCTGGCACTGCAGGTGCTTTAATCTGCTGAGCTCTTTGGCCGACCCTAAGGGATCTCATTTTTTTGACAAGTTTATGCACATGAAAAGAAATCACTAACAGAGTAAAAACAAAACCCACAAAAAGAGAAAAAAATTAGCTGACTGTTCCTCAGACAAAGAAATTCTATCTACAACATATAAAAATATTTTTAAAAATCAGGCCCCAAAAATTCAGAGACCCAGTTGAAATCTGGGTATCTGAGATGACCATACACTTCTCAGATGAAGAAATACAAATGGCAAATAAATACATGAAAAAATGTTCAACATCATTGGCTATTTGAGAGATGCAAATTGTAACAACGCTGAGATTCCATCTCACCCCAGAAAGAATGGCTATCATTGAGAAATAAACCAGGGGCCAGGGAGATGGCTCAGTAGAATAAGCACTTGCCTGGCAAGTGCAAGGGCCTGTGTTCAATCCCTGGTTCTGTGGTAGGGGGGAGGAGAAAAAAGAAAAGAAAAGAAATCAACCAACAACAAATGCTGTAGGGAAAAAGGAACACTTCTCCACTGTTGGTGGGAATGTAGACTGGTGCAACCACTTTAAAAATCAATGTGCAGATTTCTTAAAAGAATAGGATTAGAGATATCACTTGACCTAGCTATTTCCCTTCTGAGTATCTTCCCAGAAGAATTACAAACATTATATCACAACAATATTTGTGCATCCATGTTTATAGCAGTGCAATTTGTCATAGGTATATCTTGGAAACAACCCAATTGCCCATAAACTGAAGAATGGATAAAAAGAAGTGGTATTTTATGCAGTTATAATGAAGGATAAACTTGAGCAATTTGTAGGGAAATGGATCCAATTTGGTCTCCACTTGTAAGTGAAATAAATTAGGTTTGCTGTACAAAAGTCATGTTTTCTCTCTAGTATAAGAAACTGAAAGAGCAAATAAGACCCAATATGGATAATAGATACTGTGAATTGGGAAGAAACTGCTAAAAAGGAAAAAGAAATGAATTGGGGAAAGGTAAAAGGAAGAAAGGGAAAAGATGTGTGTGTGTGTATATAATTTACTTATTTATACTACTTTGTTATTAATTTTATTGAGAAACAAATAGCAATGACACAGTTTCAAAACAGTTTAGTAGGACAGTTTCAACAATTAATACATTGCATATTGTTGTCTTCATAGTAGTTATTCATAGTACAAGATGCAGACAGGATATCCTGTCCAAATACTATTAGTACAAATCTTTCTTCTCATTGAATTAATAAAGTAGCTGTATATCTATCCTATTTTGTATATACAGATACAAAATGGTTGTTCATTTGTATGCTCTTTTATTGTTTAGTTTTGTCAGCGATGGGTATTCCATTGCCATTTAAATACTGTAGATATGTGAATTCAGCAAAATAATCCAATATAGTCTAGTCCATAATAGTAGTGGGTTATCCATAGGACTGGCAATGTCAGAAGTTGTTGACTTGAGCCTTTTACAGCTCAGCATATTAATATGGCTTTACTTTTTATACATCATATTTATGCTTTTCTGCTGGATGGTTAAGACCAAGAGAAAGCAAGACCCATTTAACAAGAAATTTAACTTTTGTATCTGCTAAGGTCAGTGAAATCCCCTCAGGATTTAGCCTGAAACCCTGTACCACAATTTGTAGATCCTTTGTCAGTGTCAGCCATGTGGATGAGTCATGCCCATTGCTTGACCAAGTTGCTCTCTGTGAAAGCCTGAGAGAATGTTTTCTCTCCAGGTGACTCTCCTTAGGTGTATTATACATTGTCAATCACTTTCCTCTGTGGCCCCATAATCTCCTTGATCAGAAAATTTGGGATATCACTGAGTTACAGGATGTTATAGTACAGGTTCTCTTATGTCTTGAGTCCTCAGTGACCTTGAAAGGCTAGGGCCAAAATGTTAGCTGTCCTTGCAGCCCTTCTTTACTCTAATTTTTGGTCTGCAAACTTGTTGTTAACCCTCCAGAAGAGAAGCTTAAGGATATTATTACCCTATAATGTAGACAGTTGAGCTTAACCTCACTATCTGTCTGAATATCAAACATCTTAGACATAACATGGAGCAGGTGATTTCCATCAAGTATTGATGATTTAAGCTTTAAAATCCTATAGAATGTGATGGAAAAAATAAAAAATAAAAAATAGGAATAAGCAATTACATATTTTTACACAGAAATTTAGAAATCTAACCATATATAGCATTGAGGCTGGACAGTCCTATGACATTTTTTTCTTGTATCTTGTTTTCATTTATTACCCTTTTTTAAATACAAACGTTTACTTGAGAGACAGTATAGCAGTAATTGATATGACATTAGAAGCAGTACACATTTAGAAGAACAGAATTACAGGCATTCCAAGCATGGCCCTAGTATTACACATTGGTATAAGATAGTTATACTGCTAATTACTGTTAGTTCATTGAAAAGAAAGTTTTATGCTTCTATTTTTTGATCAATTGTTCATGTTTATATCTCATAATATGAGCAACTACTTGAAGTTAGCAATCTACAATGTTCTAACCATTGCTACTCTCCTCTCAAAATCTTGTTTTGAAATTTTATAACATTGTTTTGATTGGATGTTTTTCTTTCATTTAGTTTTAAAAAGATGTTCAAATTATAGCCAGAAAATATTTACCTCAAATCTTGGTGTGTCCATTTTAATCTGTCCTGTTAGCAATGGAATTTGTTTTGGAGTCTCACGGATCATCACACTCCATCTGAAATGAGGTGTAAGACAGGTGTATTGGGACCAGGTGGATTAGAGGGGTTATTAACACAATCTCTGGACACCTGATTTCAAGGTATACTATGAGAAGAAGCTCCACTTTGAGACTTCTCTAGGTTTCCCATGGTTGCCAGAAAGCAGTGCTTCTCACCCAAAGATAATGTCAAGGTCACTTGGGATACTTCTGTAAAATACATATGTCAGGGCCCTGCCCAAGATTTATCTTGATGGGTATTCAAGGATCAAATAGTCAGTCATAGAAAATCTTCTTCTTTTCCCTTTAGGAGATAGAATGACAGTACTGTCTGTTCTGTAGAGCATGGATAATCTAAGGCAGTTAGGGCTGAACTTCATCCTTTTTTTCTGTCTTTTAGGGAAGGGTCTACAGAATGTTCAGGGTCTCACTACTACATCAGATGCATAGTGATTCTCCTGTTTACAGCCTTCCAAGTGCTGGGATTACAGGCGCACACCACCATACCCAGTCTCTGAACTTCATCCTTGTTAAAAATTTCTTGAGACTCTGATGACATCATGTATCAAAAAAATCTTTTGACACAGGTAAATGACTATGCAATTTGAAAGAAGCTCACAGAAGTCCTGACATTTATCCATGGGGCTTTTGATCTAGGATCTTTTAGGTTTGAAGAAGAACTTTAGTGATATTTGAAGGTGACAAATTCTTTAAAGAGACTATGCCCTCAAACTGCTCTGGACTGAAACTAGAAAGGAAATTGGACCCTAATTGAGATGATGTAACTGGGAGTAACTTGTATGGGACTGAAGAAGGCAAATGAATTTGGCCTTTTGGTTACTTACCTGTCTAGAATTCTCATGCTCGCCTGTTCCACTCTGTTGAGGATGTCCAGTGGTGATTTGCTTTTGTTCCAGTATGCACCCCAACCCAAGACACGGGCCAGATCATTGCCAGTTCCAAGTGGGATGATTGCCAACTGACACTGTAAGAGTAAAAGGAGGCACCTATTCCAGACAGTCCTTCTACCAAGCTTTACCCATGAAAGAACCTGAAAGGTGCTCTTTCAGAAAAAATTATGGTCATTAGGCCAGTTGTAAGGGACTTCAGATTCTAGGAAGTGTAAATAGGAGGATATTTGAGGTGGAGTAAAATTTTCACTAAGGAGTTGAACTCCACTCTTAGCAATACAAAGTTTACTTAGCAAAGTTGTTAGAACATGCCAAAAGTTATAGCCACGTTTATAAAAGAGAAGTGTAGCTATAAGTTTCTACTTAAGATGGGGCTAGTAGTTGTAGTACTCAGAAAAAAAGCGACAGGAGTTAGAAGAACAATGTGAGCTACAGATGGGAAATAGGAAGAGGAAAGACTCTGCCATTCTTGAGACTCAGTGAGAAATATAGTAACTTCAGTAGGAGATTGGATGCTATATTCTGTTTATGGCATCTTAAAAAACTGCTTACATTCTTCTCCTTCAGCTCTTTGCCTTTGTTTTGTTTTTGTTTCTTTGAGATAGGGTCTCACTATGCAGTTCATGATGACTGTGGTTCTCTCTATGCAGTTCAGGATGAACTACATAGCTGAGGCTGGCCTTGAACTCATGACAATTCTCCTGCCTCAGCCTCCTAAGTGCTGGGATCACAGGCATGCACCACCACACCCAGTCTAGCTCTTCACTTTGAACCCTGGAGAATGGGAACTACTCATTCTTTCAATCAACTTCATTTCTTCTTCTTACAGATAAATGATGAGAAAATGGTCTGGGTAAGCAGGTTTAGATTTGTCAGGTTAGCCATCAAAACCATGGGAAGCATATTTTCTAAATAGGGAGAGTGAAGACTTGGGACTTCATGGAACAAACAGTGCCACACAATTATTCCTTCTATCAAGGTCTAAATTGAGCAGACCAGGGACTTACCCTTTCATGTAATCCAAATTCATCAATCAGAGACAGGACCCAGCTCACACTGCCATCTCCACCACAAACCAGAATACGAAAGCGAGCAAAGTTCTTAAACATGCACAGCCTGAAGGGAAGAAAAAGCAACAACTGTTGCTTAAACAGCTGGATTATACAACTCCTATAAAACTGCAGGAGCCAAAGACAGCTAATTTATCACTCTGATAACAGGCTACCTATCTGTTCTTAGTTTCTATCTTTATTGTACCTAGAACCACAGGCAATTTTCCACTGGTGATGTCCAAGGTCAGGACTTGTCTTAACTCACCCTCTTTCGTGCTTAACCTTACTCTAGAAACCATAAAAATCCCCAAATGCATTTTCTAGGGCCAAAGAAGAGTGTCTTGCATTTTTATGTCCAGTGGCTGACAGGAACCACAACTGAGCAGCCAGATGGTTCCCCTTTAAAATAGGCTTATAGTAGTGAAGGAATTTCCAGGAAACAGAATAACTGACAGTTATAGTATTCTTCCTCTGAGTTCAGAGCATATGATTTTACCTCTTCCAACTGGAAAAGTAGGGTACATTGAGGGTAGGTTATAAGGTAAGGGATTTCTGGAGGAAGGTTAAAGTCTTCCAACCAGGCAAAACAAATGCTCTGGAGTTAGGTGTCTGTATACTGGCTTGAGGAATAGATCTTTCCTACCTACATACAAGGATTGATTTCAGAAGCCATTCCTAGTTAAGAATGTATGCAGGGAGGAGTTACCTCCATATGCCAAATTATATCTCTTACACTATGCTTACCCTGCTTCAGGTCCACCCTTTGAAAGGTCAAACACTTGAGATGGGTTAAGGTATTGCTTGAATTTTCGGAGGAAGATGATCCCTTGATGGTCGCCACTTTTGGAGTTGATGAAGATGAGTAAGGGGCATGAACAGGCAGATGACCAGTCAAGATTCCAGAAGTCTGAAGAGACTACCAATTGGCCTGTTATACACACAGCATGAGAAAGAAGAAAAGGAGGAGAAGAAAGAGGAGAAATAGAAGAGGACAGGGTCATTGAGATGCAAATGAAATATGAGCTAGCATCACATTTTGCAAGAACTGTTTTGAATATTGGACCCAGTCATCTGCAATTGAGGGGCAGAAGGAAAGTCATGATATTACTCAGAGGGGCTTAAAAATCTTTTGCCAGCTGATTCTAGGCAAACAATACTTTGTGAGCAACTATTACATACCAAATATCATGTTTGAAGCTAGTTATAGATTAGCTGTAAAGTCAAGCTGAGGTCATACACACACACACACACACACACACACACACACACACACACACGAGTATGTTGGAATACAAAGAAAAAAAGAAATTGGTGATATAAGTAATTATAAGTAAAACTCAGTGGGAAAATAAAGAGGAAGACTGAGAGTCCAGGAAAAGAGGAACATCCAAATTAGTCTCCTCTTTGCCTGGGCTAGTTTAGTTTTCACAGTGAGAAGAAAGTGCTCGCTTCGGCAGCACATATACTAAAATTGGAATGATACAGAGAAGATTAGCATGGGCTCTGTGCAAGGATGACACACAAATTCATGAAGCATTCCATATTAAAAAAAGAAGAAGACACCAGGTCAGGAGAGTCAGCAAAGAAGCAAGGTAAAAGCTGTCAATATTGCATTGTGGGGCAAAGCAAAGAGTTTTAACATTTCTTTAATATTATAGTAGAGCAATTCTTGTTAGTATAGTTTCCAGGGGGAAACAAGATTATAGGGAAATTTCTGAATAAGAGAGGCTTCTACAAATCCCAAAGCTAATGTTATCAATGAAGAAGTGGGTTATAACAGCCTCAATAGCCATAAATTTGCCAGCTCAGGCTGAGTCTTAAAGCCTGTTGGCAGGAAAACAGCCTGTGATGAAGGTCCCTTAGGAGAGAGATGTTAGACAAATAGCAAGGCTCCAAACCTCTGAGCTCATGGCTTGCCATGGATGTGTCAATAAAAATAAATGCAGCACACAAAAGCCCTGTGGCTCACTCCTGTGTGGGATGGATAGGTTAAGATGTCCCATTTTTTTTTGTAACATGGGTGAAATGAAGCCTGAATATTTGACCTGGAAAAATCTGAGACAGTTTTCCTCTATGTGCCAATTCCCACTCCCTGGCCCAGGAAGACTGAAGAAATATAGCTTAGAAGTAATTACTTCCTTGATCAAAGAACTACCTATAAAAAACCGACAAAAAACCCCAAACACTACCTATATCACCATTTTTTAACAAAAGGTAATATATTGATACAGTGGTAGTTCCAACATACTCATTTACTCATTCAACAAATATGTATTGAGGGCATTCTCTGTGCCTGTCAGGTACATATATATGTCTGTATGTGTGCATTACTGGGCACTGAACCCAGGGATGCACTGACTATATCCCCAGCCATTTTTATTTTTAGACAGAATCTTACAAAGTTTCCCAGGCTGTCCTTAAACTTATGACCTTCTTTCCTGAATATCTGGGATTATAGGCATGCTCCCTTATGCCTAGCTGTGGCTGTCCTTGATTATGTTCTGAGAATACAGTGGTTAGACAAAATAGAAACAGTATCACTTCTGTAAACTCATGTTTTAGTAAAGGAAGACAGACCACAATAAATACTTCTAATGTGTGTAAGGAACAATAAATCTAGGAAATGGGAAGGGGATTGTTATTTAGATAAGTCTTCAAGGATCTGTCTCTGGAAAGACGACATGCAAGGTGAGATTTATGAAGTGAAAGAGTGATCAATGCAGAGCTCTGGGGGAAAGGTTTTTGGGCAAGGAGTACTAGGACCCTGAGAAGGGACAGTAGGGTGTTTGAGGACCCCAGCCTCTTTACTAGCATGGCTGTTGTAAAGTGAATCATGGGGAGAGTGGCAGAAGATGAGGTCAGATAAAATGACACCAAACTGAGGCTACTCAGTGAATCATTAGAGTCAGGCTATAAGATGTATAAGGTAGTATATTTTTATGTTCTCGCTCCCCACTCAACCAAAAGAATGCGAAGTGAGTTACAGGGCTGTAGGGGTTTGAGAATATTAGAGAAAGAATAACAGCAATATTTTCTTTTCTAAATAGTATGTGTGCATTTTTTTTAAAAAAAATCATTGCGCTATGTGACTATATGAACCAGCCAAGAATTAAATTAAGAAATAGAAAAAAGTGACTTATGCTAATATTGTTTTCTAAGCTAAATGGCCATGAAAGTATAGATCAAATAATTTTAAAATTCATTTGAGAGCTTGAAGCATGGGCTGCCTTCTGTGGTATGCTTCTACAAGAAAATGCAGCTGCATCATATAGGTTGGTTTACTAACCTAGAGCTTCTCTGGTGTTCTTCTCTCCATATGTATTGTAGTAGCATGTTTCTATGATTAATAAAATAACCCAGTGTAGGAACGGAAACTTCTCATAAAGAGAAAATTCTGCAGTTAAGGCAACTTGAACCTCAGTGTCAAAGCTCATTTTGTCACAGATGATAAGATACAGGAAGCAGTGCCAGCAGGAAGCCGGTTTCAGGAGAATATAGGGACAGCCTTATTTGCCATTTCCCCCAGAGGGAATAAACATTTAAATACGAGAAAATCTACACTGGTCAAAAGAATCTTGGGGATGGGTGGCTAAACAGGTATCACTGTCAGCTGGAATGCAGTAGTTTCTTGAGTTCATAAAAAAGTAACCAACCGGGACCGGGGAGACTGCTCAGTGGAATAAGCGCTTCCCTGGCAAGCGCAAGGGCCTGAGTTCAATCCCCGGTTCTG